GCATGAAATCTTTGCTTTTAAAAAAGTTTTACTATCCATAATATAATTAAACAAAATTTGTATGTTGTAAACTATACATATACAGTCTTCAGTAAGTAGAAGGTTTATCGTATTGTCGCGCATGCGCCATAATTTGGCATCAGTTTTCGTGCGGTCGACCGAAAGAATTTAATCTTCATATTTTTGGATCTTTATACATAAACTCAGTTGTTTAGGAATGAATTATAATTGATTACATACATTTATGTGAATTACAATAAAAATTACGAAAGAAAATGGTGCTAAATGATTGTTCGGACACAGAAATAATTGGTTGTGGATTCAGTGCTTTTAAGGAAATTGACGAAGTGACTTCTTTAATTGCAGAACTAAAAAAAGCTAATCTTTCTCCAAGTCTTATTGAGAAAAATCGTGATCGATTTAATTTTATTTTATCTCAATATCAAGATCAAAGACAATTGTTAGATCCTTATTTAGATGATATTCTACAACCACTAATTAATATTATTAGAGATGATTATTCTGCAGAAAATATGCGGCATAATGCTTTTAAATATATTTTTATTGTTATGTCCGTTAAAACGTACAAGAAGATCGTTACATATCTTCCACATGAGGTATACAAATACTTTGCTTTTTGTAAATTGTGTTAGATTTCAATTTTTAAAGATGCAATTTAATTCAATATAGGTAGCAGATCTTCTTCCAGTTCTGCGAATGTTAGAAAGACAAGATCCAAATGACGTAGAGACATGGGAAACTCGATATGTACTTCTAATATGGCTTTCTATAATTTCAAAAATACCATTTCCACTTTCACGTTTAGAAATTACTGATGTTAACTCTGAACAATCCATAGTAGTTAGAATTTTGAAAATATGCAAATTATTTTGTTTATCGAAAGATGCTTGTGCTGTAGCTGCAGTTTTTCTGATTGCCAATTTCTTAACAAGATCAGATGTGAAAACATTATATTTGGAAGACACAATATTATGGAGTTTGCAATGTGTGGAAAATGATCCTTTAAGACATGGCCCATTAGCTGTTTTAGCAGCAATATTAAAACACAGTGCAAGAGAAGATGTAAGACCACACATTCAAATAATTTTAGATAAAGTTTTACAGTTACATCTAAATGATAATCCTGCGGACCTTATTCGGAAATTTGGAATTAAGATTGTACAAAGAATTGGATTAGTACTATTAGGAACAAAGCTGGCTTCTTGGAGATATCAAAGAACTAATAGACCTATATGCCTATTATCTAATACTAAAGATATTAATACTATGGAAACTATAGAAAATGTTGAAAGTGTTCCATTTAATCATGATGATCAAGATATTCCATCGGCAATAGAGGATATTATTGAACAAATTATACAAGGTCTTAGAGATAAAGCAATTACAATACGATGGTCTGCTGCAAAAGGAATTGGTAGAATAACAGCAAGATTGCCAGTGGATTTAGCAGATGATGTAGTAGGATTTGTTTTAAATCTTTTTTGTGGTCGAGAGTCAGATTCTGCTTGGCATGGTGGTTGCTTGGCATTAGCAGAATTAGGAAGACGTGGACTTGTGTTACCTCATCGTTTAAGTGATGTGATACCAGTAGTTCTTCAGGCCTTAGTATTTGATGAGCCAAGAGCTTATGGATCGATTGGGTATTTAATTAGAGATGCTGCATGTTATATTTGTTGGTCATTTCCTAGAGCATATGATCCTGATATTATTCAGCCATATGTAAAAGAAATTGCAGCTACACTATTGGTTGTTACTTGTTTTGATCGAGAAATTAATTGTCGAAGAGCTGCTTCTGCAGCATTTCAAGAAAATGTGGGAAGACAAGGAAATTTTCCACATGGAATAGAAATACTTACAATTGCTGATTATTTTGAAGTTGGTGTTAGAAATCATGCTTATTTAAAAATTAGCACACAAATTGCACAATATGAAGAATATACAAAACCTCTTATTGATCATTTGGTTGCAAGAAAAGTTACACACTGGGATACAGCAATTAGAGAACTTTCAGCGAAAGCTTTATTTAATCTAACACCTATTGATTCAAGTTACATGAAGAATACAATTTTACCAAATTTATTAGACATGTTAGATTCTATTGATTTGAATATTAGACATGGTGCAGTATTAGCTATTGCAGAAATTTTAGAAGCGTTGTACAATTGCTGTAATGAAAAAATTGAAGATATAGCTGGACTGTCAGTCATAGAAAATGTAAAAAATATAATAAATACCTTTAGAAAAAGGGGACAATTCAAAGGTCTAGGAGGAGAATTAATGAAACAAGCATGTGCTGTACTTATAAAAAAATGCTCTATTGTTCAGTTACCAATTTCCATAGAAATTATTTGTAAGTTAATATTCTTAGCAAATCCCTTCAAGATATTAATTTTTATTAGAAAAATATTCAATGATAATATAATATATGAATGTTTTTCAAAATGTTATGAAACTTTTTCCTTATTGTATTATTGGGAGTATTATAGTTTATCCAAAATCAACTTTGATTATATTTTCATTATTGCAAGTTGTCAAATTTTCTAAATATTGTAAATAAACGAAAATGATTTTTACAGGTGATTGGCAAAATCTCTTAGAAGAATGTTTGGGTCATGAAGTATCTGCAGTAAAAATAAAAGCTGCTGAAGCACACACAGAATTTTTCCGAAAATACTATGCAAACATAGACAGTCAAGATCGTAATGTAGTTATTAATCGTTATCTTGATAATTTACAATCAAATAATCAACTTGTTCGAATAGGTTTTGCACAAGCCATAGGTAATATAAACAGATTTTTAAAAGTTTTCTGTGCAACAAAGTATTGCATAATACCCTAAATTATTCAGTATGTCACTTATGTCTTTTAACATCATGTAATATTTACTTAATCCATTAAATTTTATTTAAGATCTTTTTTAAATTTGATAATTATGGGTATTTATTAATTATTAATTATTTTTTGTAGGTTATTTTCCTTTATTTATAATTTGTGAAAGAGTAAAGGACATAATACAAGCTCTTATTAAATGTACTGAAATATCAGAAAATACTTTAAAGTGGGCAGAAAGCAGAAAAGAAGCTATTCATGCTTTAATATTGGTCTGTCAAACTTTGGGAGTAAAGGAAGCAGGTGCGTTATTTTTTAAATTGAGTATCAAATTTAAATAAGTCATATTAAACTTGTAGAAGTAAAATTTGTAAAAGTGACATCATAGTTCTGAAAAATAATATATATTTCTTAAGATTATTGTAACTTTTAAAGAAAGTAATTTAATTTTGTCTTTAGATTTCTGACTTTTTAAACTATTTTTCAATTTTTTATTATATTTTATTTCATTTGATTAATTCCTATAAATGAATCAAAATAGGAATGTTTTTAAATTAATATTTTTTTAGAGATTTCAATGTATCATTTATTTTTTTAATGAAAATTCGATTTTTTACTGTAATATAAAGGGTATTTCCTTGAATACAAATATCTAAAATGTCTTAGCATTTTACCTGCTGTCCTTGTAAGCTGTATAATTGTATATGATATATTGGGATTATACTATATGTATACAATATGATTGTTTTACATGTCTACACGTGATTATTTCTGTAAGTACCAGAAATGCGAAAAAGTGTTTCTGATGAAAATTGTATGGTATCGAGAAGGACATATCATTATGATAATTGTTTAACCTTGTGATAACATTAGAGAGTCCTGTGAAGATCACATTTAAATTTTTATCTGAAACATTTTTTTACATTTTTAGTACTTACAGAAATAATCACGTGTAGACATTTAAAATGGTTATACGGTATAGTGTACTATATTAAAAATATAGTATATTTGGAACAATTAGTTAACTCTTTAAACATCATTTAAATAATTTTTTTATACTTTTCAGATAAGTGGCAAATATTCGTTCATGATTTGTACTGTTGCTACTTGTTGGCATTAAAAGAGTATACAATAGATAGTCGAGGAGATATAGGGGCTTGGGTACGAGAAGCAGCAATAACTGGTTTACATGTAAAAATATTTTCTTTACCATACACATATTTAGTTAATTATTTACATTAAGACTGTTCATATTATTTCAGATGCTAACAAATTTAGTGTTACAAGCAAGATTACTTTTTATGTTAGATGAGGACTTAATGGCAAATGTAATTGGAAGAATTGCACAACAGGCTGTTGAAAGAATTGATGGAATTCGAGCACAAGCGGGAAATGTTTTTAGTGTACTGATTCATAATGATCCTCCTTTACCAAACATTCCATATCACGAAGAATTAAAAGCTATATTTCCTTATGATGAATGTAAAGAAAATATAGAGTGGCGAATGGAATCTGCTACTTTTCCTCGATTTATAAAAATGTTATCTTATCCTCCGTATACAATGAATGTTTTACGAGGAATTATATTTAGTGTCGGCGGTTTGAGTGAATCTTTGGTATTTATTACCAATGAAAATATGAATAATTATATCCCACTTTTTAATATCGGATGTTTAATGTAAATTTTTGTTTTAGGTTAAATATTCTAGCGTTTCTTTATTTTCTTATTTACAAGAAATAGATGAGTTGAGTCTACAAAGTTTATGCTATAAAATTTTAAGTATTTTTGAAGAAAGTCACAAAAATGAAAGGATGATTACATCAATACTAGCTTTTTTGGACCGCTTACTTAGTTCTGGTTGTATTCAAGTTGTTCTTGATAATTCTGAAAACGGAATTGCAGAACGAATTTTATTTCTAGTTAAGCAAGAAATAAAGAGTACAAATAATACTAAGTTGTTAATTAGCAGTATAAATGTATTTTGTCAGCTTTTACAGGTACTGATTATATTTTGATATTTAATGCAAAAAGTAATGAAAAAATGTTAGATTAATAATGAATTTGTGTGTAGATACATGGATCAGTTGCAAAAAGAGCATTTTGTCAATTAAGTATTTTTCTTTGTCATAAATATAAGTGTATACGAAAAGTGGCTGCAACAAGAACATATGAAGCTTTAACACTCTATGGGGAAGAAGTGGATATTCCAGAACAAAATTTAAGTAAAATTTTGATTGAATTAAATGTTACTGACTGGGAACAATCAGTGTCTGAACTTCGACCAATAAGAAATCATCTTTGTGATTTAATGAAAGTACCTGTACCTATTTTGCAAACTAAACTTACAAACTGAGTTGAGCCTTTTATTGTGCTTCATTTAAAATAATTTGGTAAGTGGAATTTTAAAGAAACTTTTTATTATAATATTACTATTTTATTAAATAATTATAATATACATTTTTGGTTTACAAAATATGAAATTATTGTAGAACATGTATGGAAAACTACATGCAATTTTGTATATCTGATTAATAGAAGCATGCAAATTAATACAAATTTATTGATAAAATATTTATATCATCGTTTTTAAGAAATAATTACTTGAAGATTAAGGATTAGAGTGAAAATACAAGCTTCAGGAATTTTTTATTGTAAATATATGTGTAGGTTACATATTAAAATTTTTGTAGTAATATTTAATTAATCAACTATTCAATAGTGATACTTAACATTCATTTTTGTGATATATTTTTATTTTATCTTTTTCAAAATTATCCCTAGTTATTGTAAAATTATTTTGCAAATAATAACTTAATAATTTTGCTTCACATTTTCCTAAAATCCATTGGTTTATCCACCAGTTATGATTATCAATTTTATTCATTGATGGATTTCTTGATAGTGGATAATTATAATATTTCTTATCAACAATTTTCCTTTTTATCATTTTCTGTAGACTTTAACAAACAAAACATTCAATTCGTTAACATAATTTCCAAATTCATTGTGAAACCATTTTTTACTTTTTTCTAGCACTTTTATAATCTTATGTTATCTATTTCATAACTATCAATTAATTTGTATTGCAAATATTTATTATGCTCAGCTTCATTGTTAGAAAGATTATGTAAAAACTTGGCCAAACTTATTGGATCCTTGAAATCAAGTACTGAAATAATAGACATATTGTTTGGAAGCCAATCTTAAGAAAAATTGCTCTCTGGGATCATTGTTGGTGTGGCTAATACATGTGAAATGCTATTTTGCTTTGTTTTAGGAAATGGACTAATTTCCGGTAGGTGTCTGGTGTATTTGTGTTTACTTTGATAGTGTCCATTGTTGTTGTATTACAAGCGAATTATTTTACTTTTTATTGGCATTTCTATTAGTTGCAATTTCTTGCAACAACGAAAATCTATTGAAATTTTGTACATGATTATCACTATTATTTTTGCCTTGTGTAGCTTGTTTCCTTTCAGGGTGGACTTCCATTTGTTCTTCCATTCTTTTACTTTGCGGCTTTGTTTCCGTTGCTACGGAATCTCTGGAAGAGAGCAGCCCATATCTGTTTGTTGATACTTGTCATAAGTTTGTATTAGTGAAGGTTCTACTTGTATTAACCACCGTCCGGTTGTGCTATGGTTGTCGATAATATTGGAGGTTGCCGTGTTTGTATGTGTGAAGAAATTATACATGTGTTTGACTTCTGTTGTCGTAATAAGTGTTTTACCATGTACTGACTGTTCATAGTATTGGGTTATGGAAGGCGAGGTTGTGATCATTCTGTTACTGGTGGTGGTGAGTATCGACAAAGGATACGTACCTCCATTTCCCTGTTGCATTTTGTATATATCTGTTCGTAATTTGATTTCTCACTCTCTTCAACCGCTCACTTCCGTCAAAGTAGTGTAATTTTTATACCACATCCGCTATAGTTGTAAGGCTTGTGAGATTATTATTAGCGGATTGTTCAACGATCCAAGTTAAAGGCATGACTGCCGGATCGTTCAATTGATTCCAGCACACTGTTAATTGCTTATATATTACCTCCCAGCCGAGGTCTCCCTTCGGATATATTTGCACAAAAAACTTACAAATGTGTTCGTTCACTAGATCGTCTATCGCAACATCCCCTCAGTTCTGCCTGGAATTGGTTTCTTCGCCTCTGTATCCAGGCGGGAGTGATATTTACGTCTTTAATGAGACAGACTAAGTACGTGAATATGGCACCTGCAGCTAATGAATGCGCTGTTCTTTTTAATTGCTATGATCGGCTTTCATAATAGCCGAGTATGATATTATCCTGCTGTCCAGCCCACTAGGCCTGGATGCCATTTCTAAGTGTTGATCAAAATTATCGAGATCTACAGCGTCAAGATTAATGTTGTTTAGACTCGGCCATGCTTGTTGTAAGGCCAAGTTGGTGAAAATGGCGGCTGGAATTATATGTCCTCTATATTTATAAAAGACAAGGATCTGATCTGAGCTGGACTCTGCAGACACATCCCTAATGAAGGTTGCGGCAGAGTTAAGATAGACATGGGCGTGGCTCGCAGAGCGACATTTTCCCACAATCGCAGCAATCAGAGCTCTTAGCTCATTGACTGGTGGAAAGTGCAGGCGCAAAAGCTGCAACAAGGTGGCTCTACTTAAATTCCGGTCGTCAAGTGAAGATTAACCGCAATAGAATAAGTTGCCACTAAGGTACGAACGAGTATATGATTGTCATCTGTTATGCCTTCATTTCGTGCCCATCTTAAGGCAATTGGTCGGTCTATTAGAGGCTTTGACAACCATACCGCGAGGGCGTCTGATTCAACTAGATGATCTAAGTTCAATATGTCTCCCATGGCTACTGGTAATATTGGAAACATGTTTTCCCAAATCAAAGTGTATTACATTTGTCAATTTTGTAAAGTATTATTTGGTAGGCAAGTGGAAATGGACTGTCCATCCTTTGAATTCAGAATTCTGTCTATTGTACGATTAATCTTATTTTTGGAGAAACCGTTATGTTTTAAGGCGTTTCTTGTGTGGGTACTTTGCGTTTGAGTGCTTTGGATTCTTTAGGAAAGATTGTCTTCTGTATGTGTTCGGATAGTTTGGCCTGTTTTATTACAGTGGTTGTAATTCTTGTTATTGACTTCGTAGGGTCTTTGAGTATTATTCTGTATGTTTCGTTATTGAGTAAGTCTTGTGCTTTACTGATGTATTCGTCCTGCTTCATTAAAATTATCGCGTTGCCCTTGTCTACAGGTAAGATAAGGATATCTTTTTGTTGTTTTATATCCAACAGTGCCTTATTTTCAGATTTGGTCAGGTTGGATTTGGGTATTTTAGCTGATCCTTAGGGCATTGGTGATAAACTTTCTGACCTCGTTGGTCTTTCCAGGCGGGAGGTTGTATATGGCGTTCTCAACCTGGCTGATGGTTTCTTCTGTTGGCATTTTTCTGGGAGCAATGGCAAACTTATGCCCTTTGGCTAGAACAGATAGAGTGTCGGAGGATAAAGGTAGATTAGTCAGATTACTGTGTCTTTCAGAGGTCCAACTTGAGTATTTGGTTTCATCAGTTTGTTCAACTTCTCTTTTTGTTTCTAAATACGGGTTGTATGTACTTTTAATGCCTGCTCATAGCTGAGTCGATCCACTTTATTCCACAGTTCTGAATGGATGTTGTTGCCTAATTCAAGGGATACGTGATAGGAGCTTGTTGGAAATGCGGGATATTTCTTTTTTGATGTAGCCGATCTTTTCACGCAGTAAGGCAAAGCTTGTACGTTCTAGGATTCTTTGGATTTGGCTGTGGATATGTTGTGTTTAATTGTCAGGAAGCGGGGCACGATGCTCTGATCACGGCACCGCTTCAAAAAAGTCAAGATACAAAGATGTTGTACACTTTTACGAGATTTGGAGAAAGAATTAACTTTCTGTAGAATGGCCTCCCCGTAGAGTTGCCTAATCAGAGATTTGAGGCTTTCACGGTCCGGCATCATACAGGTCTTATTGTTAAGGCATTCGGGTGTAAACCGATGGAATTATTTTTCCAACGTTTCGCCAGCATTGTAACTAGCTTCATCAGGTGGTCTGAAGACACACTGATGCTGATGTGTGCCTAGTGGTACTCCACTAATATAGAGGAGCTAACACATGTTCCGGTTCAGCGAGCACCAATCAGAAAGAAACTCTTTTTAATTGGTCAGCAGAACAATTAAATCGTTTTTTAATTCAACAGTTTTTAAATTGTTCTTTCTTTCCGAAAGCCTCAACAGTAAAAACTGTATTATCTAATATATAATTAATTTGGAATAAGTTCTAGTTTAAGCACAATGACTACTTTTATTATGTATTGATTATTTTGCAAAACACTATTGTTTGAAATAATTTAATATAGAAGAAATTGTAAATCAAATATAATACGCTTATAATAAATGTAAATTTCTTAAATACATTTGTAATTTTTAATAAAAATTAAAATTAAGTCAATGTGTTCAACAATGTAATATTTACCTTTTCTTATAAAATACTTTTTAAACTAAAATTTCTACGAATCAGAAAGGTATAGATAAATTTTCTTTAAATTTAGATATTACATAATTAAAAATTGAAAATATCTAATTACTTTTTTAATAATGGAAAAGTTAAATTATTAAGGTAAATTGTACATGCAGCAAAAAATAAGATCATTTAGTCTACTAAAAATTAAAATAATATTTATAATACAAATGTTAATACTTTAAATTTTGGTGATCCATAATATACAGGTATAGATCCAACGATAAGGGGCCTCTACAATTTTTCCGTGATACAGTCTTCACAGATTGCATTTTCAAAAGCTATTGTAAACTTGTAATTAGCAGTGAAAGAAAGGAAATCCTCACTGTTCAAACTTTCAAGGTAATTTTGCTTTAGCCTAGATTATAATTACAGTATTTGTAGAAATAATATAAAGGATACAATTAATTTTGGTTGAACTATAAACCTTTTTACATTCTAACGAATTAATTTATCTTTTATCACGTTGAGCATTAGAGTCGTTACGCACTGTCGACCAGTCTGGTCGCCGGCGACCACTGAATTCAAGAAAATACACGAGCTCGTATGCACTTGGCCGCGGCGACCACGAAAACACGAGCGATGATGTACGGGCAACTCGCTTATCGCGGTGACTGATGAAGTGCATTGAATCAAATGCATACGTTCACACGACAGGCAACTTTCTTACAGACCAGACGTAATGATGAGCTTCAATACAGAAAAATGTATACAACACTGACAATTTTCGAGTTGCTGTGTTTGGTTGCCTTGTTTTTGGTTTTTCGTCGATCAGGTCGCCGACGACTGGTCGACAGTACTTAGCGACTCTTATTTAACATTCGGACGGCGTGCCGTCGGGTGAGACTAACGAGCGGCGGTGCTGGGTCTATTCGGACCCCAACGTAAGCTCATATCGTATAATGTGTTTTTGCTTATTTCTATAAGTCATAATATGGATAATAATGATCAGTAATAAGAATATATATAAAATATATATAACTTTGGGTTTCAAGTATCGAAGTTATACGCTTACAGTGGGGTCAGACAGAACGGACCCGGACGTCGCTGTCGGAGAGTTAAACGTGTACCATATGAGTCTACACGTATGTATTTCGTTAACTCGGTTACATAGATATCTCTATTATTTGCTGTATTACAGTCAGATTGTATATAAAGTAAAGGGGCAAAGCTTTTTTTGTATATTAAGTTACTTTTTTCTTTTGTGTGTGTGAAACAT